AGAAAGAAAGAAAAGCCTGAGTGTGAAAATAAATAAATAAAAAGAAAAACCTGAATGTAAACTAGAGAACAAAACATCATTTTTGCAAAACAGAAGTATGCAATGTGGCTTGTCACCCTGCATACTGACTATAAACCTGGAATCATGGAATTATGGGAGACAATAGGTAAGTATGGTAAATTAAAACATTCAGAATGGGAAAGTAAACTGTAGTGACACTCGGATTTACATGGAAATTCATATTCATCAAGTTTCCATAATAACCAATACAAAATTACATAAGAAACAAAAAGTACCATAGTCTCCAATATTAAAATTTCCCATGAATTAGTAAACTATAGTAAAATCAGGTTAAACAACTTTCTCACAGAAAAGAAAGGCTAACAAACCAGATGTGGCAGTGCACACCTGTAATCCCAGCACTTGGGAAACTGAGGCAGAAGGATCACCATGAGTTCTAGGCTGACCTGGGCTACACAGTAAGCCCAAGACTAGCCTGAACCACACTGCAATATCCTAGCTCAAAAAAAAAAAAAAAAAAAAAAAAAGTAGTAGAAGAAGTGGGAGGATGAAAGGCTAACAAGCTGAGCGCGGTGGGACACATCTGTAATCCCAGCACTGGGCAGGCTGAGGCAGGAGGATCACCAGGACTTCAAGAGCAACCTAAATTACAAAGAAAGACTCTGTCTCAAAATAAAAGAAAAAGCCAGGCATGGTGGTGCAGGCTTGTAATCCCAGCACTTGCGAGGCTGAGGGAGGATCTTTGGGAGTTCAAAAACCAGCCTGGACTACAGAGTGAGCCCAAGGCCAGCCTGAACTGCATAGTAAAACCTTGTATTGAAAAAAAAAAAAAAAAAAACCTTAACAGTTCCAGATCAGCTTTTCAATTAAATTAAGACACTTCAGTGCACACTGAGTACCAGACACTAACAACAAATAAAAGTTCCAACTTTTCTAATCTCTTGGAAAATAAAAATTATAAAATTTGTATTATCTTAAGCACAAACAGTAATAATGGTATGATTTTTTTGGCACTATATCATATATATTAAAATATACTGTAGACCAGGTTTGTCTGGGGGATTTTTTGGCAAACGGCTTTTTCTTGAATTTTTGTTTTGCCACACTGGAGACTGAACCCAGCAAACATTCACCATACAACACCAGCTCTGTAGAATAGTTTTTCACCACCTTAAGTTTGCAGCACTAGAAATGAGAAATTCTGCTAGACAAATGGACTTAAAAACATGCAGCAGCAACAGTTGCTGGCTACATGTACATTTTTTCTGGCACTTTTGTATTACATCATTGTGCTCGATTTCTCTGCAACAATAATGCTCAGGATGGCTCTCTAATAATAGTAATTGCCCTCTGAAAATAAAGTGGGTAAGGGATGAAGAGTTGACCCAAAAAGGGCCAAGGACAGTGCCTCAGAAATTCTATCCCTACCACCTGCTGCTCCTGCACCATCCCCACCCCCATACTATCCCTCAGTATCAACTCTGATGACTTGCTAATAAGAAATATGGCAGAATGATTCCCTGGCTTTTCAACTTTGTAATGTGAATTTATAATACAAAGGAGGAGAAAACAAAATCAAACCCTCAGAAAAACCTTCCTTAACATTAAGAGAAAAATCAGTACTAGTAAAGTCTTTCCAGTGTACGCCTATGCTCAAGACATTAAGACTTGTACCTGTGATAAAAATTATGAGCTACTCCAAATAACTGAATGTCTTTACTGTGAAGAACTTGTAAACAAATGTAAACTACAGTGCTCTACTTGACATTTCTGCAAAAGAGAGCCCCTATTTATATACCTATTTTTCAAATCCTACCTCTAAGATTAATAGCTTCAAGTTCAAACTTCTTGATATATGAAGTGGAGGGTTTATTGGGAATCGAACTTGGGACCTTGTGCTTTCCAGGGAGGCGCTGTGCCACTGAGCTATAGCCCTGCCCCAACTTCTTGATTTTAGATAAACATAGTGTTATTATAAAACTAGTAATTAGCCAATGGTTTGTTGAGTTTTGTTTTTTGGGTTTTTTGTTGTTGTTTTGGTTGTTAATTTGTCTTTTTGAGATATGGGCTCGCTATGCAGTTAGGGTAGCCCAAGCTGGTCTCAAACTTGCAAGGATCCTCCTGCCTCAACCTCCGAATGCTGAGATTACAGCTGTGAGCCACTACTCCCGGTTTAGCCTATGCTTTTTTAAAGCAATAAAAAAATCAGTTAGCTAAAATTATAAAACAAATAAACACTTATTTACTTAATTATCACAAGCTGAAACCTGAGGAAAATGTAATTAGTAGTGCGTGGTTATCTTTTTCCCTAATCCAAAGGCAAATGAACAAGTTCTTTTTTTCAAGGATGCCACAAAGCATCTTCTCTAACTTAACTTACTAAATTAGTGACCATATGAGTAACACTGAAAAATTCAAAATCTTAGGGACTGGGGGTTTAGCTCAGCGGCATAAGCACCTGCCTGGCAAGCAGGCGGTCATGAGTTCGATCCCTGGTACCAATAAAAATGAGAAAAGACAAAAAAAAAGAAAAATTCAAAATCTTTATCTCCATTACATCTCACAAGGAATATTTTCATTTTTTCAGTAAATCGTTTGCAATTTCACACTACCCCACTGATTAGGAACCTACCCTACATTTGTTACACACACCAGTTTCACTTTCTGGGTCTTCATTTTGTATTCTACTATGGTATGGATAAACAACTAAACACATTTCAGTTTTCCATTCCACGTATTCACTTCCATTTACATGTTTTTAAAAAAATGGAGCCAAGGACTCCTGACGCTGAAGCAGGTGGACTGTCACAAATTGGAGGCCTGCCTGAGCCACACAGTGAGTTAAAGGACAGCCTGGACTACATAGAGGGATTGTCTCAAAAAAAACACTCAAAAGATAGAGATTCCACTCAAAAGATAATTTTCAAGCCACGCATAGTGACGCACTCCTGGAATCCCAGCATTTGAGAGACTGAGGCACGAGAATCGTGAGTTCAAGACCTGCCTGGGTTACAAAGTGAGCTCAAGGCCAGCCTGAACTGCATAGTGAGACCCTGTCTTGAAAAGACGAAGAAAAAACTAATTTTCAAAAGACAATTTTAAGGAATTCACTAAAGTCTGGAGCACCAATTATATTTTATTCTTTAAAAAAAAGTACCAGTTTCTGAATTTAAAGACACTGAATCTAAGACACTGAATTATTCTGAATATATCCCAAAATTCTGATGTTTTACTAATACTGTCATTCCTAGAAATGTTTTAACTTCTCAAAGTCACCCTTTTCTTCATTCATCAGATAAAAATTAAAATAAAGCAGCAACACCCTATGTCAAGCGTTCTTGCAGGGTATCCACCCCACCACTGACCTAACACAACAGAGTTTGTTTCAGAGCAGGGAAGACCCAGTTGTGAGTGTGCCTGTGTACATGCACTTCCATGGGTAGGGTCAGGGTGTGACAGTGCAGACAGCTCTACTCTTTCAAAACACAAATTTTAAATACAAATCTAAAATTAACAGTAATCTTAAAGACCAAGTAATGCATTCCAAACCACGAAAATTTGAAACAAATGAAGCAAAACACTAACATGGCTTGCCCTGTTTCCTTTAACAGATACAAAAAAGTGGCAAAATTATCTACAGTTACTTCCTTCTCTGAATCTTAGTTAATGTAGGCATAATAGTGCCATTTTATATCCGACTTTAGCTTAAATTCAAAAAGTATAACAAACCGTAATTTTGTATCACAAAGCAGCTAATGTAATAATGTATATATCCTGAACTTCCTTCTTTCAACGTCTGTCACAGCTAGGTAGGAGCTGCCAACAAAATATGGAGGCGGTGGAAGGCCTCTATACACTTTCATAGTAAAGGGATAGCAAAGCAGGAAAACCTATATTCCCTTGGTCCGAGGTTAGGAGTTCCCGCTACGCCTCGGTTACTCGCATATTTTTCCTACCAAACACCAAACGTAACAATACTACTGCTATTAGACTGCCTGGGTCAGATTCAGCTTATTCCTAACAGCTCTGGCTTCCTCCACGTCCCAGCGCACCCTTGCGCGACCAGCGCTACGGCGAGAGAGCACACTATACAATGAAACGAACAAACAGCACACGCCATTCCGCAACTTGAGAGAGAAACACTCGCAGATCTTCCACGCCGCCCCAAAGAAGTACGTTAGCCGGAGCCACTGTGCGACACAAAAACGGGTTCCTCAATTCACTGGCAAAGTTGTCGCAGAACCATTTCTTCAAAACACACTTCCAGTTCTCCCACCGCCGGGTGTGCACGGTCCTCCAAGGGGCTCGGGGACAAATGAAGCCTGTCCCCAGCGTGGCCGGAGTTGGAGCTGTAAGCCCACGGCATCGGCCCCGCATCCTCTCCGGATCGCGGCGCGGTCGGGCCGGACCCGGCGCACCTGGGTCCGGCGGTGCGGGGCCGGGCGTGGGGGAGGGGAGGAAAAGGGAGGGTGCGGGCCCCAATGGCTTCCTAGGAGCGCGTTAAGGAAGAGCACGCAGGTCCGGGCTCGCAAAAGTTCCCGGAGCCACCAGCTGACAAAGGGAAGCCGCGCAGCCCCCTCCCCGGCCCAGAGGCCCCCGCCCCGCGCCGGGACCACCTGGCCGGGCGTTTGACAGCTCGGTCCTGGGCCAGCGGCTTTGTGGCTCCTGCGACGCCCCTCGGGGACACCACGGGGGCGCGATCCGCAGGGTGTCGTTCGGCGCCCCGGCTAGGCCCAGGGACCTGGAGAAACCGCCCCAAGAAGCGGACCCTAAACCAGAAGCAGCCGAAGCCGAAGTAAAAGTAAAGTGCGCTACGCGGGCCACCGGACTGGGCGTCCGTGGGGGCCGAGTCACCGCCACCGGGCCAGGGGCGCGCGCCGGACAAGATCCAATCGGACCGGGCCAGGCCAGGCGGGCGCTGACAGCTCCGGCCGCGCAGCCGCTGGCCGCCGGCCTGGCCCCGCTCGCGCTCAACTTACTTCTTTCTGGCTCTCTGGAAAGGGGAAGCGCCATCTTTGCGAGGCCGGCCCCGAGGTCTTTTGTCTGCGGCTGCGGGGCTCGGGGCCGCGGCGCCGGGCTCCTCCGGGGCGTGTGGCGGCGGCCGCGGCTGCTCCGCGCTGCGGTCCTCCTCCGACGACATCCTAGTCACCGGGAGAGACGCATGGAGGCCGGTCCTCCCGCTGCTGGGGGGCTCCTCCCGCCGCCGCCGTGCCCGCCGCCACCGCCGCCGCCGCTGCTCGGGTTCCGCCTCCTGCCTCAGCCTCTCGCATGTCCCGCAGCCCCGGGCGCGGCGGCGGCAGCGGCGGGAGCGGGGCCCGGGCGAGGCGGCACCATGGAGCGGGCAGCGCGCGCACTCACACGCATCGGCGCGGGCGGGCGGCGCGGGTGCGGGCGGGGCGGGCGGGGCAGGCGGGGCGGGGCGCGGGGCCGGCGCGGGGCGGGCGGGGCACGGGCGCGGGAGCGCCGGCCGGGGTCTCCGCCCGCGGCCCCTCCCCCAGGCCGCCCGCCCGCGGCGGAGAAAGGGCCGGGCGGGGCGGGGCGGAGCAGGCAGGGCGGAGCGGTCGGGGCCAGTCGGGACGGGGCGGGGAGGCCGGGGGCAGGGGTCGCGCCGGGCGAATGGGTGGGGGCGGGGGTCTCGCCGCTGGCGCCCCTCCCCCGCCGGTGCCGGCCGCCGCGAAGTTTTGACAGCTGCCGCAGTTGCCGTGGGCTCGGGCCCCTGGCTCGCTCTCGCGCGCTCGCTCTCTCTCGCACGCTCGCTCGCTCTCTGGGGCCGGGAGAAGGAAGTTTTGCGGGGTGTGCGTTCGCCCCACACACACCTCACACACTCACGACCCTGGCCGTCGCGCCGGGCCCGCGCCCGGCTCCCCGGGGCCGACCCGCACCACAGACCTCTCAAACTCGCCGCCGTCTCGCCCACACACGACCGCCGCGCGCCCCCGCGCCGGCCCCCGCGCCGGCCCCCCGCCCCCGCGCCGCCCGGCCTGCCACTCACGGGCCTGGCGCCGCGCATGCGCTACACTTGCGGACTCAAGGCTGCTGACCTCACGCCCCTCCCCCGCCGCGCTGTGCCCCGCCTCGCCCCGCCACGCCCCTCCCCGCCCGGCCCGTGCTGACGCGACGCCCGACCTCCGCGGATCCACAGGGCTCCGGCTGGGAGAGAGGCAAGCCGCGGAGGCGGAGATCCGGGATCGGGATCCCGGCAGGCGCCGTGGGGAGGAGCGGCGCGGGGAGCGCTCTGGTGAGTGCCGCTGGCGGGCGGCGTGCGAGCCCCCGGGCTGGGGATTCCCGGGGACGCGGGGACACGCGCGGAAGGCCCTGCTGTGCGTGTGCGGCGGTGGGAAGCACAATAGACCTTGCAACTTCGCTACAATGCAATTCCAGTTACACTTTCGTAATAACGTCATTTTTAAAAAAAATTCAGAGAGGGTTTATGATGCTAAACGATAAAAAGAGCGATAACATTTTAAGGAATAAGATGCTTAAACACAAAATAAACTGACATGGGGAGAAGACCAGGAGATGGCGAGAGAGGGGTAAAGAGAAGCAAACGTAAAAAAGAACTGAGGTGTGTTATGGAGTACAAACACGTACTCCTAAAAATACAATTAAATGTAAAAAAGACGAAAGGAGCCTATGTAAACCCAACAACTTGATTGTAGCGTTTGATGTGCTGCGATGAAGAGACAAATACCTAAGTCTGTCCAAACCACCGCCGAGACCTGAAAATGGGGTGGGAACGCGAAAACCTGAAAGAGGGACTTTCTGGGAAGAACAGTCCCACGTCTGCAATCTTGCATTTGTAGTGGAGAACCTCTGCACACTGTTTTATTGTTTGTCTTTGCATTGAGTATAGATTGAAAATGAACTCAGGAGTGGCAAATCGTTAGATTTCAATTGCTGAAAATAGTAAGCTTCAACACTTGCGGAAGGATTGGGGTAAACTAGCATTCAATGGGCATCTGTTTGAGATTCATCTTCCCAAGGGTTTCAGTGTGTGGAATAAAATAATATGCTGGTTTTCAAGGAATAGTAGTGGCCGCCACCGCCTCCCCCTCCCCTTCCTCCCTCCCCTTCCCCTACCAAGAGTGAGTATATTTACTTTAAACTGTATTTATTTGGGCAAGATACACACTGATAGCCAGAACTATTCTAATTGAAAGCATAGTTTTTAAGTGGCTGAGACAGGGCTGGAGGTGTCGCTGAGTGAGTGTCTTTGGTTCCCTCCCTAGTACCACCAAAAGTAAAACCAGTCTTACAAAATGAGGCAAATGGTAGGGTGTGGTAGTGCACATCTATAATCCCAGGAGATTACTATGAGTTTGAAGACATTCAGGGCTACTAGTCAGTTCCAGACCAGCCTGCACTACAAAGCAAGACTTTGTTGGGGTTCTGGGGGAACAACACCCTGTCTAAAAAAAAAAGAAAATGAGGCATATAGAAAAATACTCATTTAATTCCTTCAAGACTTGCTAAAATTTATTAAATTTAAAATCTAAACCATGCGTGGTGGCACACGCCTGTAATTTCAGCACTGGGGAGACTGAGGCAGGAGGATCCTTGCAACTTTAAGACCAACTTGGGCTACCAAATGTGTTCAAGGCCAGCCTGAACTGCATAGCATCACCTGACTCAAAAAGACTAAGTAAGTAAATAAATAAATAAATGAATTTACAGCCTAAAGAAGTTTGAGACTGGGGAGAAAGCTGGTATGATAAATGAAAAATGTAAAGTCAAAGTTGGGGCTGGGGATTTAGCTCAGCGGCATAAGCGCCTGCCTTGCAAGCAGGCAGTGTGAGTTCAATCCCTGGTACCGATAAAAACGAAAAAGAAAAAAAAAAAAACCAAAAAAGTCAAAGTATCTATTACAGGGGCTGGGGATTTAGCTCAGCGGCATAAGCACCTGCCTTGCAAGAGTGTGGTCATGAGTTCAATTCCTGGTACCGGTAAAAATACAAAAAAAAAAAAGTATCACACATACAAATACAATATATACATGGTTAGTGATACATTCATGATGTGTTATAAAGTTAATTACTAAGTGCATATATGAAAACTTTTTTGAGCTGAATGGGTGCTGCATACCTGTAATCCCAGCATTTGGGAAACTGAGACCAGAGGATACTGCAAGTTTTAGGCCAGCCTCGGATACATGGTGAGACCCTGTCTCAAAAAAAAATCAGGAGGCAGATAGCTGATATTCCTCAAATTATACAATCAGAAAATCATAAGCACCTGAATAAATCAAAAACTTTTTAAAAATACAGTTGGGTTTGGGGATTTAGCTGAGCAGCATAAGTGCTAGGTCATGAATTCAATCCCCGGCACCTAAAAAAAAAAAAAAAAATCACAATGCTTAAGTTCTAATGAGTACAACTTAAACTGAATTTTCAAAATATGATAGATGGGCATTAAACTGTTAATAGAAATCCCCTCTGAGGGGGCTGGGGATTTAGCTCAGCGGCATAAGCACCTGCCTTGCAAGCAGGCTGTCATGAGTTCAATCCCCGGTACCGACAAAAAAAACAAACAAACAAAAAAGAAATCCCTTCTGAAGGATTGCATTACAAGAAATTTTGTACTTAACATTTTTTTTTTAAAATGGGCCAGGAGTTTAGCTCAGAGGCACAAGAGCCTGCCTGGCAAGCACGAGGTATGAATTGGATTCCCAGTACTCCCCACCCAAAAAAAATGTAGACTCTTAAACTGGGCATGGTGGCACATGCCTGTAATCCCAGCACTCGGGAGGCTGAGGCAGGAGCATCATTGCAAGGTCAAGACCACCCTAGGCTACAAAGTGAGCTCAAAGCCAACCTGGACTGCATAGTGAGACTTTGTCTCAAAAAGAAAAAACAAAGTGGACTCTTTCAGAGCACATACAGTACTTGTAGTCATAAATAAATATGCACATATATATATATTTTTAAATGTTGGCATGCTGGGTGGGGCTTGTTATTTGAAACAAAAACCAACATCTCAGGAAACCATAAAAAAGGAGGATCCTCCAGGAATCTCACAAACAAGCAGCAGCAAATAAAAATTCATAGTACAAATCCATTCTTATTAAGGCCCATAAAATGCTACTGGATGGTCTTTATTTAAAATAGTCTTTATTGTTTTTCTTTTGTTTATCTATTGAAACAGAGTTTTGGGCTGAGGATTTAGCTCAGTGGCCTAAATGCCTGCTTGGCAAGCATGAGGTTTTGAATTTGATCCCTGGTACCAAAAAAAAGAAAGTAAATAAGTCTTACTTTGCAGTGCAGGCTGGCCTTGAATTTGTGGTGATCCTCCTGCCTTAGGCTCCCAAGTACTGGAATCACAGGTATATAATACCACATCTGGATTTTGGGGTTTTTTTAAGACAAAGTCTTGCTTGCTATATAGTTTGATCTGCCCTTGAACTCACTATAGAGCCCGTGCTGGTCTCAAACTCATGGAGATTCTCCTGCCTCTGTTTCATGAGTACCTCAAGTATAGGTATGTACCTGCACGCCCAGCTACTGTTTTGTTTTTAGTGAATGTAAAACTGTTCACATAGCTTTTTGCCCGTTCACTAGTGAATGTTCATCTCCTTTTGTTTTCCCATGAAGTCATTTTTAAATTCCCCAAGGTTTTTCACTGTGCCAGTGGTGATGATGGATTTTGTTTTTTCTGAAACCATATATTTGAAACAGGAGTCTTACTAAACTGCTAAATTGCTCAGGCTAAGATCAAACATGTAATCCTGTTCAGCTTCCCAGAGTGCTGGATTACCAGTGTGTGGATTACAATTTTTATGAAGAATATCACTTCTACAAAAGCAATTTTTTTTTTTTTTTTTGTCTTTTTCCTTTTTATCGGTACCAGGGATCGAACTCACGACTGCCTGCTTGCAAGGCAGGCACTTATGCCGCTGAGCTAAATCCCCAGCCCCCTCAAAAGCAATTTTTTAAGCAAAATGTTTTTTCTTCAAAATGACCTGCTTTTTAGCCTTAATTACATTTGTCTTTCACTATGATATTTTTTCCTTTTTTTTTTTTTTTTTTTTTTTCTTTTTGAGACAGGGTTTTACTATGCAGTTCAGGCTGGCCTTTAACTCACTTTATAGCCCAGGCTGGCCTCCAACTCAAAGTGATCCTTCTACCTCAGGCTTGCCAGTGCTGGGATTACAGGTGTGCTCCTCGGGGCCTGGGTACCTGGCCTACCTTTTCTTTTGTTCACTGTTCTCTCCTCATTGGAACTATTAAAGAGTTCCTTTTTTGTTGTCATTGTTGTTTTGGTTTTTTGAGACAAGGTCTTGCTCTGTAGTTCAGGCTGGCCCTAAACATACTATGTATTACAGGCTGGTCTTGAACTGCTAGCAGTTCTCCTGTCTGTTCGGAGCTCCACCAGCACATTGAAGACATGGCTCATTGAAGAACTTTTTGTTAAACTAAAGCAGAGGCATTGTTGCTGCAGCAGGCTCAGTACTCAAAAGGAAAAAAGAGAGGCATGTGATGACGTGTCACACACGTGCACACACTCCCCTCAAAGAATATAAACATTATGCACTGGGAACATGGACTAAGAAATATAAAAATTAATCGAATAGAGAGAGACTACAAAAAGAGACCTAAATTCTTTTGCCTCCCCACCTCCTCTGCCCTCTCTCTCCCTGTCTTCCCAGTCTGTCTGCTTCCTTTCAGTGCATGTGCATGTAGATGTGTGTGTGTGTGTGTGTGTGTGTGTGTGTGTGTGTGTGTGTTGCTGAGTATGGGACCCAGGGCCTTGCACATACTATCTAAGTGGTGCACCCCTGAGCCACAGCCTTAGTCCCAGAGAAATTTAAACTGAGTGAGGATGTGAGGCAAGGAAGGTTTCAACCCTAGACCCCACTACACTCCCTGGGTCTCCCCTGTGCTGACCCTGGGTATCCACTTGCTTCTCCCTCCCACTCTACTTCTGTCTTGCCATACTGGGTCAGCATCTATCCCTCCTCCCTGCCCTGCCCTGCCAGCCCCACATCCCTGGTGCTGGGAAGGATTCCACAGGGACACAAACGACAGGCCCACGGATGCCACAGGCACCTGACAAACAGGCACCAGCCGCCAAATGGCTGATAAGGTAAAGGCGGACAGTGAGACATGGCTAGGATTACGAAGCGCTGCAGCAGCAGGTAGAGCGAGGGAACGCAGATGTCAGGATCTCTCAGGCCGCCTTCAAGGACACACACAGAGCCAGTGCAGCTTGATTAACCTTTGATACTTCTTTGAAGTGGATAGGTTTTTTTTTATTTTATTTTATTTATTTTATTTTTTTTGTCTTTTTCCTTTTTATCGGTACCAGGGATTGAACTCACGACTGCCTGCTTGCAAGGCAGGCGCTTATGCCGCTGAGCTAAATCCCCAGCCCCTGAAGTGGATATGTTTTTTTAAAAATTATTTATCATTATTATTAGTATTATTATTGGTCTTTTTTTGAGGCAGGGTTTCACTGTATGGTTCAAGCTGGCCTTGAGCTCCCTTTGTAGCCTAAACTGGCCTCAGACTGGCAGTGATCCTCCTGCCTCAACCTCCCAGGTGCTGGGATTTCAGATGTGCACCACCTCGCCTGGCTAACACAGGGTCTTCTAAATTCCCCAGCGTAGATTTAAATTTGTGCTCTTGCCTCAATCTCCCAAGACTGGGATATCAAGGGTGTGCTACCATGCCCAGTTTAAAAACTTTTACCTCATTCCTCTTCAACTTTATTTTTTAAATTTTATTTATTTAGTTTTTGAGATTAGGGTCTCACTGTGTAGTCCAGACTGGTTTTGAATTCACAGTGATTCTCTGCCTTAGCCTCTTGAGTGCTGAGATTACAGGCCTGATTTGCTTTTCACTGCCATCCGAATTTAAAAGGAACTCTTAGTCCTGTTGCAGAGACCCGCATACATTCATTGCTACACAAGGAAGCCTCTCTTTGGCCAGTTGGTGGGGCCTCCCTAATTCTAAACATCCTTCTGTGACCTCATCCCCACCTTGGTTCCATCTGCCACTTTGTGATTTCATTGGTGAAAGGTCTCGTCTTGTCTACTAGGGCTCAGGGCCCCAGGAACTCAGCTCCTCTACAGAATCAGCTTTGGGGTGGTCTTAGGGCCACACTCTGCAGAGCAGAGCCCACTCCATACAATGGACGTTGGCATTCCGGTTCCCTTTGCCTCTGAGATACAGTTGCTGTGAAGTGCACTCTTGCTGCTGATCCACAGTATCCCTGCTGGAACTTGCAGTTCCCTGTCTGGGACCATGGGCAGCACTCCTGACTTGGAGCTGCCCCAGCGGCTGGACCCCTACCCCAAAGAAACCCACAGGCACCCCAGAGGGGAACAGCCGCACCTGCTGAGTAGCCTGGCCGCAGTACAGACTCTGGCCAGTGTCATCCAGCCTTGCTATGGCCCCCACAGGCGGAAGAAGTTTCTGCTGACTGCTCACGGGGACATCGTGTGCACAGACTCAGCTGCTGCCATTCTCCGGGCCCTGCAGCTAGAGCACCCGGCAGCCCGGCTCGTCCGTGAAGCAGCCCAGGCCCAAGCCGAGAGCTTTGGGGATGGCACTGCCTTTGTGGTCCTGCTGGCAGAAGCACTGCTGGAGCAGGCTGAGCTGCTGCTCAGAGCGGGCCTGGCCCGCACCCAACTCCGGGAGGCCTACAGCACAGCCCTGGCAGAGGTCCTGGCCACACTGCCTTCCTTGGCCATCCGGGCCCTGGGGCCTTTGGAGAATCCATCCTGGGCCCTCTACTCTGTGATGAACACACACAGCCTGGTGCACTCAGAACACCTGACTAAGCTGGTGGCCCATGCATGTTGGGCCAGCAAGGAGCCCGGTGGCAGCTTCAAGCCCGAGCGTATTGGGGTGTGCACCCTGCACGGGGGTTCGCTATGGGACTCTTGCCTCCTCTCAGGACTCGCCATGCCCATGAGGCCTTGTGGTCAAGTGACTGCCGTGTCATCAGGGGCCAATGTGGCCCTGTTTGCTTGCTGCTTTGGTCCTGCCAGTCCGAGTACCCCTACAACTGCCTCTCTCTATAGTCTCGAGGACCTCCTTGCATTCAAGAGAGAAAGCAGTCGACTGGTAGAAATGCAGGTGGACCAGCTGGCAGATGCAGATGTCAATGTGGCTGTAGTTTGGGGGGACGTGGACGAGGAGACCCTTGCTCTGGCCAACCAGCAGGGCATCATGGTGATTCAGGTTAAATCTCGGAGAGAAATCGTGTACCTAAGTGAGGTGCTGGATACCCCTCTCCTAACAAGCCTGCTGCCCCCTCTGAAGCCAGGGCGATGCTGGAGGGTTCATACACAGAAGCTGGGGGACAGTGAGGCCACAGTGTTTGAGTGGGAGCATGCAGATGCCCCTGTGCTCACGCTGGTCCTCCAGGGGGCCACAGCCGAGGGGCTGCGGGGCGCAGAGGAGGCCGTCTACCATGGCATCGATGCCTACGCCCAGCTCTGTCAGGATCCTAGGCTGCTGCCAGGAGCTGGTTCCACAGAGATGGCTCTGGCCACGATGCTCTCAGAGAAGGGGGGCAAATTGGATGGGCCTGAGGGTCCTGCCTTCCTGGCTTTTGCCCGAGCGCTGAGGTCTCTTCCTAAAACCTTGGCAGAGAATGCAGGCTTGGCAGTCGCACCCATAATGGCAGAAATGAGTGGCATTCACCAAGCAGGCGACTTCCTGGTGGGAGTGGGAAGTGAAGGATTACTAAACGCTGCCCAGGAAGAGATGTGGGACCTCCTCGTGGTCAAAACCCAAGGCCTCCGTGCAGCAGCTGAGGTGGTGCTGACACTGGTGACCGTAGATGAGTTTGTAGTGGCCAAGGGAGGCCCCAGCCACCAGCAGATCCTAAACAACTCAGGGAAGGTGATGGGTAGCCTGTCTCCAGCCAAAAAAGAAAGCCTTCAGACAAACAGGCAGCAGCAACACCCTCAATAAACCAAGACCACCAAGGGGCACCCTCCCTCCCCATCTCAGAAATGCGTGTTTATTTATTCCTTCAAGTTGGATAATACTGGTATTATTTTGTTTGATTGGGTGTTTGTGTTTTTGAGGCAGGATCTGGAACTTCAGATTGGGCTTTAACTCAATGTGTAGCCCAGGTAGACCTTAAACTTACCATGATCCTCCTGCCTCAGCCTCCTGAGTGCTGGGCTTATAGGTTTGTTCTACCACACCCAGTTCTTGGCACTTTTAGAATTTGTTTCTTTAGATACAACATCCTGAAGAGACATAAAAGTTCTTCTCACTGACTTACTTCCTTTTCTAACTCTTCACTCATTTCCTGTTTCTCTTCATCAGATTCTGTTCCTTTCTACAATCAGAGCAGGATTCAGTTCAGATAAGGTTTTTTTGTTTTTGAGAGGGTCTCACTACAGTTGAGTCTGGCCTTGAGCTCACTGTGTAGTCCAGGCTGGCCTTGAACTTGCAGTGATCCTCCTGCCTCAGCCTCAACCTTGCCAAGCACTGGGATGACAGGCATGCACCACCCAGCTTTCCAATAAGATTTTTAAATTGAATATATGGGCATTGGAGATACAAACAAACAAACAAAATGCAGTAATCTTTTTCTGATAACTGGATGACTACTGTCTTCAAGATCATCTAACATACATGGATTTATGTCTCCATGTCTTATTAGCACTCTAACAACATCAGTTCTAGCTCATAGGAGTGGCCAGTCCTTTTTGGTGTGGTTTCCCAAACAACAAAGAAATGTGATTTTTAGATCTTTCTTTTCTTCTCTTAAGCAAAGCAGGAAAAGGAGCTGGAAGCAGGCAGAAATTTTAATAAAAGTAGGCATGGTAGCAGATGCCTATAATCCCAGCACTTAGGAGGCTGAGGCAGGAGGATCATGGTGAATTAGAGGCCAACCTGGGCTGCATAATGAGTTTAAAGCTATAGTGAGTTTGGGGGAATCACATTATAACACTGCCATTTCCTTTCCCCTCAGCAGACACAAGACACCCACACCTGATGTCCCTTGACCCCCACCTTTTGTGTATAAAACCAAGTTAAAATTACAGCAAGGAGCCAGGTGTGGAGGCGCATACTTGGGAGGCTGAAGTAAGAGGACTGCTGAGTTCAAGCTCAGCCTGGCTACATAGGCAGACCCTATCTCAAAAAAAAAAAAAAAAAAAAAAAAAAAACACAAAAACCAGAGACAAAAAAACCCAGCGATGCCTTACTCAGAGCAAAGGTTTGTCAGACACATTTACCTGGTCTATGCTGAGGGTCTGTGTGGTGAAGCCTGCAACCAAACCTGAGACTCACAAGAGACAGAGTGTCACAGTGTGCTGGCTCGGGAGGTCACCGAGCCTGTGTCCCAGCCCAATGTGCCCAGCCTCCCAGCCACCCTGCACTGGCTCGTATCTCTCGAGCCCTGAGAACCCCAGTGGCCTTGCAGAGCCCAAGGTCTGACTACTACACATAGTCCAGGCTAGCCTTCAACTCACTATGTAGCCAGGGTGGTTTGGAACTTGGTGATGCTCCTGACTCAGCCTCCAGAGTCTGGGATCACAGGGATGTGCTGCCACACCCAGCCCTCTTCCCTTTATTTATACTATTTCTTTTCGAGACAGGATCTCATTAAGTCACCAGATTACCCAGGCTGAATGGGAATCTCTTGTCTCAGCCTCCTGAGTTGTAGCATTATAGCCATGCACTACAAATGCCCAGGTTTCATATCCCCTTCTTTGTCAGCTTTCAGTGGTCTCTTCATATTTCAGTTTGCTCAGACATCAAGGTTTCTTCCCTTCTATTAACTATGGAGAAGTTAACCTGAATGTAACCTCTGCTGGTGACCATGCAGATCTGTTTCTGAGATTTATGGTCAAGGTCTCCCTTTTTCACTTGGCCTTAGACCTGGCTGTGTGTTCTCTTCCAAAACCAGCTTTCTTCAGTTCCAGGGCAGCCAAGAATTCAGAAGTGGCAAGTCAGCTGGACATGGTAGCACATGTCTTTAAATGCTAGCTTTTAGGAGGCCCAGGTAGAAGGATCTACCTCTGCCTGGATTACAGAGCCAGACACTGTCTAAAAAACAAAACAAAATCGGCTGGGGATTTAGCTCAGCAGCATAACTGCCTTCCTTGTAAGTGTGAGGTTGTAAGTTCGACCCCAGATTCCAAAAAAACAAAACAAACTTCTTGGGTTGGGGTGTAGAGCACTTGCCTAGAATAAATGAGGTCCTGGGTTCCATCCCCAGCAAAAAAAAAAAAAAAAGAACATTAGGAATTTCTCAGCTGGGGCCAGCCTGACTACATAGCCAGGCCCTGTCTCAAAAAAACAAAACAAAACAAAACAGAAAAACATATGTCCAGCCATTTCTTCAAATTCAACAAATGCAGCCAGGCATGGTGGCACACCACTGTAACCCCAACACTCAGGAAACTGAAGCAGGAGGATTGTTGTGAGTTCAACTCCAGCCTAGGCTACAAAATGAGTTCAAGGCCAGCCTGAATCGTAGAGCAATACACTGTCTCAAAAAGACAAAAACTCAACAAATGCATCAGAAAGGCAAAGTGAGTCAGGAAGATTTCTTCTGTACAAAGAGATTTTTTTTTTTGTCTTTTTCGTTTTTATTGGTATCAGGGATCAAACTCATGACTGCACACTTGCAAGGAAGGCGCTTATGCCACTGAGCTAAATCCCCAGCCTCTATACAAAGAGAATTTTGCCTAAGCTGGGTTCAAACTTACCATCTGCCTCAGCCTCCAGAGGGCTGTGCTGACGTGTGTGCCACCCCACCTGGTTTGGAAACCTTCTGATTCAATTGTTTGTTGAGAAAGAGTCCTGGTATGTAGTCCAGGCTGGCCCTGAACTCCCTCAGCCTCCTGAATGCTGGGATTCCAGGCATCTGCCACTACACCTGATCGATTATTTTGTTTGTTTGTTTGTTCTGAGACAGGATCTGCTATATAGTTCAGGCTGGCCTTGAATTCACTGTGTAGTCCAGGTTGGCATGGAACTCAAAAGGATCCTCCTACCCCAGCCCCCTGAGTGCTGATATCTCAGGCATGTGCCACCACACCCAGGTCTCCCTTGAATGTATTTTCCTTTCTTCTCCCACTGAGGCATGATTAATACATATAGTAAAATGCTTTACATATCAATCGTATTTGGTTACTCCACAAAACAAAGTAACTCATTCCTCATAACCTGGAACATGAACAGGACAAGTATTCTTGGCTGCACTTCACAGAGGAAGGAACTGAGTCTCAGATTAATCTCTTAAATTTACAAATCTGCATGATAAAAGGCAGAACTCTGAAGAACTTTTCCATTTCTAAAACTTCATAAGCTGAAGCCTGGAGTTATGGCAGGATTGTAACTTCAGCACTCAGGAGGTTGAGGCAGGAAGATCACTGCGAGTTTGAAAGTTACCCTGGGCTACACCGTGAGTCAAGGCCAGTCTGACCTGCACATTGAGACCCTGTCTCAGAACAACAGTAAACTCCGTAATGTGTCCAGAGTCACAAGGCCAGCAGTTAGTGGCAAACCAATAGAAGCATAATACTGGGTACAAGACACCCGTCCCTTACTTCTCGACTGTAAATTTGTTCTTTAGCTTACAGTAGCCATCTGTGTATCTCCGTACCTTTCCCTGAGGGATATAGCAGGGTATGATGAATGGCAAGGTGTGTGCATGCATGCAAAATTGGATTTTTTTTTTTTTTGTTACCAGGGATCAAACTCATGATCTCGAGCTTGCCAGACAAGCGCTTATGCTGCTGAGTTAAATCCCCAGCCCCACAAAATGGGATTTTTTAAACCCACATTATGCTCTGTGCAACCTCATTTGGCATTACAGAGGGTTCAGTAGACCCACAACACTCCAGGATTTGTTTTTAAAAAGTTAGCCCAATTCAGTACAATGGTACATAAAAAACCAGATTTGTGAGTTCTGGAGGAAGCCAAAAGTGAATCATGAATGATGAGGATGATCCATGATAAAATACATGTTTTCATAACATGAGAGTAGTGTGGGTGTGGGATGATGATGATGATAACTTCGGTAATGGCCATGTGAAGCAAAGTTCCTATAACAGCAAAATGGATCAAGAATTGGCTGAATTGACACAGGGAATACAGACCTCTTTGACTGAGATGACACAGAAACAGCAATGTGTCTAAAAATTTGATTAATCAAAGTGTTGCAAAATGGCCATGCAACCAACTGGAACAATCCAATGTTAGAACTAAGTCAGAAAATATAGTGAGGATCTAGGTAGACGTGAAAGGTATTGGACAGAACACCAGCAGTGCCACTCAATATTAGAAATTGTAACAGATAGAATGCTACAAGATGCTGTGAAATACACAAAGGCTGAAATGCCAACATTCTGGATGGATCAATGGCCATATTCCAAAAAGTGACACTTTCCTTATGACATCTCACGAGCTGAACTGAAAGCATTCATAGGACTGCTAAACTTAGCAGGGATTTTTCATTGTAATCACAGGAATGTAAAAGACTTATGGGAAAATGATGGCTCAAAATATGGCATAAAAGGCTAGTCCGAAGGTAGTGAGTTATCTCAGTTGATTGTTCACAGTCAGTACAGATTGAACTCCTTGTTCTACTCTTTCCCCCCTTCTCACTACTGCACTTGACTAGTCTTAAAAAATAAAATAAAATAAAAATATGGCATAAAAATGTATGCTCTTGGGGCTGGGGATTTAGCTCAGCAGTATAAGTGCCTGCCTTGCAAGTAGGCAGTCATTAGATCCCTGGTACCAGTAAAAACAAAAAAGCCAAAAAAAAAAAAAAATGTATGCTCTTAAGCTTGGCAGAGTGGCACACACCTGTAATCCTAGCGCTTGGAGGCTGAGGCAGGAGAATCGCTGTGAGTTTGATGCCAGCCTGAACTGCATAGCAAGATTGTCTCAAAAAGCAGTAAAAAAAAAAAAAAAATGTATCCCCATGTAGATATGAAAATTTATCATGCTGTCAATTAAGACATTTGTCCTGGAACTCAGTCACCAGGTCCTTATTTGTCTTTTTTCTTTTTTTTTTTTTTTTTGGTACTGGGCATCGAACTCATGACCACACACTTGCAAGGTAAGCGCTTATGCCACTGAGCTAAATCCCCAGCCCTGGGTCCTTATTTGTATAGTAGCAAACCAAATGATATTGTGAGCAGATTGGTTGCTCATCTCTCAAACTAATTGGAATATGACATTTTGACCATTGGTTTACCAGTTTCCAACTGATGTTACTTGCTAACAGACCACAGGTTGACTGGCATAGGAACAAAGCACAAATTCCAAATGCAATTTTAAAACAGGAGTGTACACTCTTTGGATTTCAGAAAAATATAACGTTGGCCTCCTACATGGCAAAGAAAAGAAACTGGAACCCCTGATGTGAACATTTCACCGTGATGGGAATACTGATAGGGAAATCTCAACAAAATGGAAGCGTGAGATGGAAACTTCCTACAACAAAACCAGAGGCGGAGGAGATGTTGTTGGTGAGTTACGCTGCAACAGTGATGTCACTCGGAACACACGGCATTGGCCAGGTTTTACTCAATCTTAAACACGTGTGGCATAAATAGTTTGACCGTTTATGAAGAGAATAGCAAGTGTAAAATACCATAGGGAAGTTTTCTTAGAGGATTGGGACTGGAGCTCAGAAGAGGGCATTTACAGCAGAGGAAAAACAAAATGTTTGTGCCCAGGGAACCACACAGAAAAAACTGTGGAGCACAGTGGTGAGTTGACAGGTGAACAGGCAGGCACAGCATCACAGAGACATGATGACGACAGGAAAGGGAAAACATGTCAGTTGTGCCCTGCAAGAAAGTAGAGGAAAGCAAAGCATACATGCCATCAGCATAAGCAATATTTGTGTATGGAAGATGTAATTGTCATATGTGAATACCATCTTGGGGGTGACAGTTAAAGCAAAGCTTGTATCTGTGGTAGACTTCTGTTTGTGTTTACATTGTAGTTCACACAGATGTTTAGTTTTGATGTTGTCTTTTAGGTTCTGTAAGTAAGTACACATCCCCATGTAAAAATGTTGATGTCTATTGTGAATGCACAGTTAAAATTTACTTTATTGATATTTTATGTTCCTCTTGACTATACACTATATATTAAAGACCTCCTGACATGCCCCCCCCCCAAAGAAAGAAACTTCTAACAAAGCAGCAAGACCATTGAGATGTCAAGTATATCCTACAAAAAGGCCAGGAAAGCAAGACATGTGCAGTGGTCATAAATTATGCATGCATATGAAACATGCTATTGTTATGTGTGCAACTGCGTTAGGTGTGATGACTGAAGTAAAGGGTTTTTATAAAGTGCTATTATTTTCACTGTAGTTCATATAAGAATTTGTGTTGTTCTTTTTTAGACTTAGTACACCAAAACACAGTAAATGTCAAAATTTTGATGCTTTTTAAAATAACCACTCAGTATTAAAAAATTTAATACTTCATTTTTGTGATTTTTCCCTCAGTACTCAGTTTAATATGATAAACTCATAAAATTACAATTAGTAATTCATCAGTAAAAATATTCTAAAGAAAAAATATGGGTCTGACATGTTTCTGTGCCCTTATGACAAAATTAGTGTTACGCTCTTTAAGGACCTGAGCTTGCTGAACATGGTAACAGGGACCTGTAATTCCAGTATTTAGGAGGGTGAGGCAGAGTGAGACCCTGTCTCAAAAAACAAAAACAAACAAAAAAGGACCTGAGACAAAAGGCAGGCTAATTCTCTCACACTGTATTATCTGTACCTCGGCCAGCACTTACTAACCTATCCTTGGGAGCTGCATGGTGTGCTAATTATGCAGCCGGCACTGTTGAAGACCCACTCAGCAACTGCTGTCCCATCTTCCAGGCCTAGAAGTACTGAGGTTTCAACTCCACAGCACCAACCCCAGCCTAGCCCAGCCCAAGCCGCAACTGGACAATTCTAGCCCAGAACACAGGAATGGCCGCTCCTTCCTCGGTGGACTGAAATCGGAGACCCTGGGTTCCCCCTGCTTTCTGCTTCTCTGTGGCTCCGAGGCATAGTCAGGAGTCCATGTGGGACTGGAGTCTTATTTATTTATTTATGGATTTTTGAGACAGAGTCTGGGTATGTAGTTCAGGCTGGCTTCGAGGTGATCCTCCTGCCTCAGCACCCCAAATGCTGAGATTACCGGTGTGCTCCGCCATGTCCAGCAGGGACTGAGAGCTTCTTCAGTGACAATGCGTGACCTGTCTATACTCCTAAAAATGAGATGACACAGGCAGAGGTGGGTGAGAGGGTCCCAGGAGGTCACTAGACTTCATCAGGTTCCCACTGCCTGCTTGGGGGAGGCAGGAATAACTTCTAGCTCTCCAACAAAGGAGCTAGCAACTGAGGTTCTCTGGGTCTCAGCAGGACAGAGCCCAGCACAAGTGCCTAGAGAAAGATCAGCTGTGTGCCTGCAGGAGGAGCTGGGAGGAGATGGGAGACCTGCCTTGCCCTGATCCCTGGGGCCATCACTAAAGAGTAGCCAGGGCAGGCCAAAGGGAACCAGGACTCCTTCCCTCTGACTCCGAGCCTCTGCCAGGCATAGCCTCAGAGCTGCAGAGGAGAAAGGGCTGCCAAGTGTGTGCCCACCTGGGGAAGGGCGAGAGCAAGGCTAGCGACGGCACTGTGTCCAGTGGGAGAAGTGTGCAAAGAGGTGGCCTTCAGGCAACAATCAAGGTCATGTCTGTGTCTGACGGAAAAGCTGTCCCCAGCTCTTTCTCAGAGGTAAGTCCATCCCATCTCACCGCAGCAGAACACAGCAGGGGAGACACTGTGATTCCCGTCAGTCTGATCACCCTGAATGTAGACGTACATTTGTCCACCAAGTCTTCGCTAAGTACCCGCTTGTGTTCTTCAGACACAGCTCTGAAAAATCTGGAAAGGCCTCTGCCTCCTAAGTTCAAAGGCAGTCAGTTGCCCTAAGCAAATAAAGGCGACTTTGGCTGAGCAGTGCTCTGAAGGAAGATGAAGGGTGATAAGGCAGAAAGTACCTTGGCTGGGGGCAGGGAGGGGACCTAGTTTAGATCTAAATGCCTCCCTAAGGCGACTCCGGAGCAGAGGTGGTGAGCACGTGACCCAGTCCAGAGCACTGCTGCTGTGGGTGGGCCAGAAAAGGTCCAGACAAAATCCTTAAAGCAAAAATGACCTGAACCACAAAGGCATGGGTGTGGCCGGAATGGAGGGAGGTGGCTGCAGGATCCCAGACGCTTTGGACCTCCAGGGTAGAGGCAGCGGCTGCAAAGGGCACCCTGCTGTTTCCCTGGCTGCAGCACCTGGAGTCAGGCCTGGGTTCACTTTTGTGATCTCCCATTTGCACATTTTGGGAAAGTTACCTGGGTTTCTTCATGTCAAACCAGGCTTGAGCAGAGATTATTCCCTGCATCCTTGCCCTACGCAGCGGCCCATCACAGGGCGAGCTGACTGTGAAACACACTCGAGTGAATTCCCCAGGAGAAGCTGTTACTGACTGAGGGGCCTGTCGGCGATGTCATTGCCAGGTTCCTGGTTCTGAGAGGCCTCGAGCTTGGCCCGGGGTCCAGGCTGACGCGGGGGGGGGGGGGCGGCTCTTGTTCCGTCCCAGCACGCAAGCGGTGGCGACGTGTGTCTTTACCCTAGCTCCGCCGAGGGACCTGCGCCCTTGGGCCTGATCAGGAGGTGCAGGCTAGGTGGCAGGGAGGGGTGGAGATACAGGAGAGGGGAGGAGAAGGAAGAAGAGGGGGCGAGCTCGCAACCTCGTTTCTGGGGAAAGGAAGAGCGGTGTAGAGGCAGGGTTCGCGGGGGAGCAGGTGGGCGCGGCACACCAGCGACCGACAGCCCGCTGTACTCTGCAGCCAGGCGACGCGACTCGGGCTCCCAAAGGGAGAAGGCAGGCAGGAGAGTGAAAGATGTGGACAGAGGAGCGGGACCGGACTGCGCAGGAGGGTGGCGCGACGCGACACAGCCCAGCAGCCCGCTGGAACCTGGAGCTCAGCGACCCACGGGGCTCCGGCCGGGGAGGAGGAGAGGGTGGTACGCTAGGGCAGCGAAACCAATAGGACGGCGAGTAGCGGAGGGGCGGGATTACTCCTGGCACCAAGCCAATGGGTGACTTGGGGTAGGGACGGGTCCGTTGGTTAGAGGCCAATGGGAGAGCGATTTTGTGTCGGGGCGGCGTGCCAGGCGGCTCAGAGCCAATGGGAGGGTGAGCGGGGCGACGCTGGCGCGCCGGGGAGGGAGGCTGACCCGGAAGGCGGTGGGGGCGGGGAGCCGAGCTGACAACCTGTCAAATCCACTTCGGGACGAACTAGGTCACGCGCTCCGAGCTAGGTGCCCCCGCCCGCGAGGCCCGCGGGTGGCCCGCGGCTGCTTCCTCTCTATGCCGGCGGCGGTGGGGGCGGGGAGGGACACCTGCGTCCCTGCCTCCCGCCGCGCGGCCCTGTCGGCTTCGGAGGCCCCTCGCGTGGACTCGCCCGTCGCGGGAGCCAGGACCGGCAGGTCAGGCTGCGCGGCATCGCCGACAGCCTTCGCCTCGAAGGGACAGCGTCAGTGGCTCACGGCAGCGCGCGACCGCGCACTACATGGCGGAAGGGCCGCGGCTGCGGAGGAATCTGGGATGCGCGATGCGGCACGGGAGGGAGGGGCGCGGCGGGCGGGGCGGTCCTGTTCTGAGCGCTCCGACACCTGCTTCCCCGCGCGGCGCGCTGTGGCCACTTTCCGTCCCGGCCGACCGCGGCGATCAATAGAGTCCGGGTCGACTGTAAGGCAGGAGGGCAAGCGTCCTGTGGCGCTCTAATGCTTTCCAGGCCGCGTGCGGCCCTGTCCTGAGTCGCCAGTCTGCTCGCACCCTGCTCTGCAGCCAGCTCCGAGCGCACTGGACGCGGTGCTGGCTGGACCTCGCACCCAGGTGCTGTCCCAATCCGGCCCAGAGCTGCGGCAGTTCACACGCTGCGGCTTGAGGAGTGGGACCGAATGCTTTTTAGTATTTCTTTGAAGTATTACAGTGAAGGGAAACAAAAACATTTAATTTTCATTCAAATGCATATTTTGGACAAATATTCCTTAAGTGTATGGAGTGTATGCCGTGTGCTGAGAGAATGCCTCACGGGATGTAAGAATATCACCAGATGTGTATTTCATCGGTAAAGAAATTTTACTTTGTTTTCAAGCCCAGGCTTTAATTGTATTTTAGCTACTTTATTGGGAAGGAAAAGCCATGCATTATTTGTGTACAGAATGTACAGATGTAGCTGGTCGTGGGCCTGTAACCCTAGCATGATGAAGGCTGAGGGAGGCCAAGACAGGAGGATCTCTACTAGCTGGCTCGAGGCCTGCCTGTGGCTCCTGGTCAGAAAAAAAAGTATACATGTAAATTTTGTACATTTAATTTAAAATAGTGCCGCTCTTTCTCTCTAGATTCCTGTTCCTGTCTGGTCTAGAACCCTTGTGCAGAAGAGCTCTCTTGCCTTGGCCTCTGTGCTTTGTTGGGTAATGAGACCGCAGGTGCAGGGCAGCGAATAGGGCCCTAGGGTACTCTTCACATTCAACCTAAAAACCACTTAGGGTGCAGTGAAAGTGGCCAAAGAATATTATGTGCATGGACGAAGCTGCCAAAATAAAGCCCTTCAATTTGTGTAGCTGACTGAAAAAAATATAGCTACCACCTAGTGTAGGTTAATGTTGATTACCTCACTTTAGCCATTCCACAGTGTAACCTGCTTCAGACAGCATATCAAACACAACAAAATTCTTACCAATTAACATGAAACAATTGTTTTATGAAGCCCTGTATTAAATATGTAAGGGGGGGATATTAGTTCGGCGGCACAGCACCTGCCTAGCAAGCGCAAGATCGTGAGTTTTGATTCCTGTTACCGAAATAATTAGATATGTAAGGTCTTACCAACATAGGTTTAATTACAGAAACAAAATTATTCCCCAGAAATACTTCCTAGCATTATTGTATGTATTTAACAAATTATACATATTACTTTATAGAATAGTATTATCAATAAGACAGAAGTAGAAATCCATCACCTCCCCACTTCCTTTGCTACAGGGCTTCCACAAATTGCCCAGGCTGGCCTTAAAATGACAATGTTCCTGCCTCAGCCGCCTGAGTGTTGGCACTAGAGATACCTACTACCACGCCTTGCTAGAAGCCCAATTTATAACAAACATTAAAACCTTCCGAAATGAGCCTATTTTTGTGGTTATAGTCTTTCATTTAGAGCCGATTCCTTACAGCTGACTGTCAGAGGGAGCGGTGGAGCCCTTCCTTTTGACCAACCAACAGCTGGGCAGTGTTAGAAACACCCAGCCCTCACAGGGTATGTTCAAAATGTTGAGTTTTATATCCAAGGTTTTCTTCTCTGTTCCCACTGAAGGTTGTTTCTCCCTCCCCTTTCTTGTCATTCTTTGAATGTTAATATTAAGCAGACAATAAAACCTTAAGAATTTTTGTTCAACAAAGAAGCCATGAAATTGTCAGTCACAGAAAGTGAACACTGCCAAAACATAAGAATAAGTTGCAAGTTATTGTATCAGTGGCTAGGGTTACCCACTACATCTAGTACAGGAAGTCAAATGAATTCCAAAACCTAAAATGCACACTGGTGTAGTAGGACATGCCTCCAGCACTCAGGAGGCTGAGGCAGGAGGATCGCTGTGAGTTTAAGGCTGGCTTGGGCTACATAGTGAGTTCAAAGCCAGCTTATACTACATAGCAAGACCCTATCTCAAAAACAGAAACAAAGTGAGAATTAGACATTATGCCTTACTTAAGTTTATTGGTACATTTTAGATACACATAATGATAAACATCATAGAGAATTTGTACCTGAGCATGATGTATCTTGCTTCTGTTTTTCTCATTCCCCTCTACTCCCTTCAACATTGTTTCCTTTCCTTATTTACAAAAGCTTTGTTTGCATTTTTTACAATTCTATCTGACTTGTGTCTCTTCCTTTCTTCCCCTCCCCTTCTTCCCCTTCTCATTTGAATATTTTCTTCCCATTTTTCTGTATCTATTATACATTTTTGTCCTTATTTACCCTTTTAGTTTCTCACACCAGAGCACAATGCAATATTTAGATGTGTGCATCTGATTTATTGTACATAAGAGTATAGTCTCCAGGTGTACCCATTTGGCTAGAAATGACTCCGATTTCCTTTTTTATGGCAAAGAACTGCTCCACTATATAAAAACACTCACATCTTCTTTTTCCATTCATTGAATGATGGGTACCTGAATTGGTTCCAAGATTTAGCTATTAAGCAACCTGTGCTGCTATATATGGATGTGCATATATCACTACGGTATGATGCTTTTAATTCCTTTGGAAAGGTACCAAGAAAAAGAAGAGCTGGGTCAAAGTTAGTTTTCAGGAATCTCCACACTGATTTCCATAGCAATTGCGTCAGTCTACACTCCTACCAGCAGTGGAGAAGGGTATCTTTTCCCAAAGCCCCAACAGCATTGTAACCACCATGCACAGCTGGATTGAGTCTTTACATTTAGGGGTGGGATCTGTCTTTTTTGAATTGTTTTTTTTTTTTTTTTTTTTTGTCTTTTTCGTTTTTATCGGTACCAGGGATCGAACTCACAAGTGCCTGCTTGCAAGGCAGGCGCTTATGCCGCTGAGCTAAATCCCCTGCCCCTTGAATTCTTTATACATTCTAGATATTAGTACTGTTTCTGTGGAACAACAAAAAATTTTTCCTGCCCTCTGGTTGCCTCTTCACTTTGTAGGTAGTTTGTTTTGCTCTGCTTTTTAATGAGATCCTAGTTGTGGATTTGTGGTGGTATGTATGTTTTGTCTTGTGGAGACACTGTTTCACTATGCAGTTTAGTCTGCCCTTAAACTCACTTTGTAGGCCAGACTGTCCTCAAAATTGCAGTGAGTCTCCTGCCTCAGCCTCCTGAGTGCGGGATCCTAGGTATGTACCACCACACCAGCCTTCAGAACTATGCTGAATAAGAGTGGGGACGGTGAGGGCAGGGGATGTAGCTCAGTGGCACAGCACCTGCCTGGCAAGTGCCAGGTCCTAAATTCAAATCTTGGTACCAAAAAAATTGGACATCTTTGTCTTGTTCCTCATTTTAGAGTGAAAGCGTTCAGTTTTTGTTCAGTATGATACTATTGCTTTGTTGTAGATACCTTTGATCAAGTTGAGATAAAGGCCATCTATTCTAATTTTCTGTATAGTATTTATCATGAGTGGGTGTTGGACTTGGTCACTTTTTCTGCATCTATTGAGATTATCATGTGCTTTTTGTGCTTGGCTGTGTTGATACACTGTATTACATGTATTGGTTTGTGTGTGTTGAACCATCCCTGCATCCCTGGGATGAATCTCACTTGATCATGGATATAATCTTCCAGATGATTTGCTGCTTTCTGTTTGCCAGTATCTTATTGAAGATGTTTATGCCTATGTTCATGAGAGAGATTGGCCTGTAATTCTCGTTTTAGTTGGATCCTTCTCTGGTTTTGATATCACGGTAATGCTTGTTTCCCAGAATGAATTTAGAATTGCTTCCCTTTCAATTTCATTAGAGAGTTTGAGAAGTAATGGTGTTAGGTCTTCTCTAAATTTCTTGTAGAATTAGTGGTGAATCCATCCATCTTGACTTTTCTTTCTAGTTAGGTTTTTAATTATATTTTCAATTTCATTGACTGATGAAATTGGTATATTGGTTTATTGAGAATTTTTATATACTCTTGATTGAGCATTGGTAATTTATATGTATCTAGATTTCTGTCCATTTCTTCTGTGCTTTCCATTTTATTAGAATACAGGTTCTCAAAGTAGGTTTTGATGATCTGGATTTCTGTAAGATCTGTTGTGATTTTATCCTTTTTTATTCCTAATTGCATGGATTTGAGTCATTTTTTTTACTTGAGTCTTTTCCTTGCGTTTTTAATAAGGTTGGCTAAGGGTTTGTCAGTTTTATTTGCTCTTTCCAAAAACCAACTCCCTAGTTCATTGATTCCTTGTATTGTTTTCAGTTTGCATTGCATTGATGTCTGCTCTGATCACTCACTGCAGTTCTTCCCTACGGGAGCTTTGTGCTTCACTTGCTTTTTCTTTTCTTTTCTTTTCTTCCCTTTCTTTTCAAATCCATTTTATTCAAGGATAAAAAAGGACAAAATTTCAAAGCATGTCAATCAGGGGCAACAATGACACACACGTTGCACACTGTCATGCCCAAATCATTCACCCAGAGCACAGGACATCTGCCTTCATTTCTCCCAACAACACCAGTACAAATCTTCCCCTTTAGCAGACTCAAAGAAACCAGTAATATAACTATCTTAACTATTTTTATATACATATACATACACATGTGTATCTTATTTATTTCACTAATGACTATGTTCTCAAGTTGCATCCATTTACCTATAAAAGCACCAGTTTAGGGGCTGGGGGTTTAGCTCAGCGGCATAAGTGCCTGCCTTGGAAGCAGGCAGATGTGAGTTCGATCCCCGGTACCAATAAAAAGGAAAAAGACCAAAAAAAAAAAAAAAAAGCACCAGTTTATTCTTTTTTATGGCTGAGTAATACTGTATTATATAAAAATACCACGTCTTTTTTATCCATTCTCAATTGATGGGCATTTTGGTTGTTTCCAAGATCTGGCTATTATAAACTGTGCTACTATAAACATGGGTGCCCATATGCCAATGTGGTAGGATGTTTCTAATTCTTTTTTTTGGGGGGGGAGCTTACTGGGGATCGAACTCACACCCTCGCACTTGCCAGGCGAGCACTTACACCAGTGAGCTAAATCCCCAGCCCTGATGTTTTAAATTCTTTTGAGAAGATTCCCAGAAGGGGAATAGCTGGATTGTATGGGACCTCCAACTCTAGGTTTTTGGGTTTTGAGGGGTTTTTTTGTACCAGGAATTGAACTCAAGACCTTGCACTTGCCAGGCTTACACCACTGAACTAAATCCCTGTCCCTTCAATTCTTGTTTTTTCAGGAATCTCCACAATGATTTCCACAGTGGTTGCACCAATCTGCATTCCCACCAACAGTGGAGAAGGGTTTCTTTTTCCCCTCCAGCATTTGTTATTGGTTGATTTCTTGATACTAGTTATTCTTTCTGGGCTGAGGTGGAATCTCAGTGGTTTTTTTTTTTTTTTTTTTTTTAAAGGTAATGAAATCCAACAAAATAAAACAGAACAAAACCAATGAAAACAAAGCAACAAAATTGATACAGAACTTCAAAGAAAGATACTAGGAAAACAATGTCTACCACAGTATATCTTGTTACCTTCACAACAGTTGTCCATTCCATCAGGTACAGCAAAATCAAACCAAAAACAAAACACTATAAAACCAATAACAGAATATTGAATAAAGCAAAACAATCAGAACAAAGCAAAACAGTGAAAACAATATTGGACTTCAAAGACAAGATAAAAGGAAATGCCCCATGTTTGCTATATTGCATACTGTCATTCTCCAAAGAGATGCTCAGACTGCTGGCCCAAGGCCTACAAAATCAACCCAACAATGCAAGCATTTAGTTGCTTTATGTACCTTACCTGCTATCAACTCAGCCTGTCCCTGGATCCAGTGGAGTCCTTTGGGGGAGGGGGTTGGTTCTCAGCCTGAGCACTGGTAGATTTATGGGAGGTGCTGACTTTTCTCTTCCTGGAAGCTGCACAGCCTGCAAGGCTTACCAGAAGGGCTGGCTGGTTGGTCTCTTGTTAGATCCTCCCAGTCCCAGCATGACTGTTTCTCCAGAGGTGCCTACTCCTTTATCCTTAGTGTTGTTTTAATTTGCATCCCTCAAATGACCAGTGCTGTCTACTGAGAAGGGTGTGTTCATCTTAGATGCCCATTTTTGGATTGGGTCTTTAAATCTGGGAGGACTGATTTTTTTTAGTTCTTTATATATTCTCAATAGTAATCCTTTGTCTGAGGAATAGCTGCCAAACATTTTCTCCCACATCATGGGTTGTCTCTTCACTCTGTTGGTGGCTTCTCTTGCTGTGAAAAAGCTTTTCATTAGGGTGAGATCTTAGTTGCTGATTCTTTGCAGTAAGTCCTGTACAATCTGGGTTATATTCATATAAAAAGGAAAAAGACAAAAAAAAAAAAAAAGAAAGAATCATATGATTTTATTCTTGACTCTGTTAATATGATGTGTTGTATTTATGGATTTATGTATGTTGAATCAGCCCTGCATTTCTGGGATGAATCCCACTTGATCATGGTATACAATTTTTTTGATGATTTGCTGAAGTCTCTTGGTCAGTATCTTATTGAGGATTTTTGTATCAATGTTCACTAGTGAGACTGACTTATAATTCTCTTTCTTAGTTGGGTCCTTCTCTGGTTTTGGAATCATAGTAATGCTTGCTTTCAGGAATGAATTTGAGAGTACTGCTTTCCACTCAATTTCATTAAAAAGTTTGAGGAGTAGTGGTGTTAGGTATTCTCTAAATTTCTGATAGAATTAGCGGTGACTCTATTAGGGCCTGGGCTTTTCTTTGTTTATAGGTTTGGTTTTTTTGTACTAGGGATTGAACTCATGACTTTGTGCTTATCAGGCAGGCACTTATACCACTGAGCTACTGGAGCTGCTGATAGGTTTTTTAATTAGATCTTTAATTTCATTTATTGATATTGGGTTATTTAGGATTTTTATATCTTCTGGATTCAGCTTTAGTAATTCATATGTATTTAGGAATCTGTCCATCTCTTATGTGTTTTCCATCTTATTAAAATCCATGTTTTCAAAGCTGGTATAGATGATTTTCTGGATTTCTGCAGGGTCTGTTGTGATTTCTCCCTTTTCATTCCTAATTACGTGGATTTGAGTCTTTTGTTTCCTTTTTTTGATGAGGTTGGCTAAAGGTTTGTCAATTTTATTTAATCTTTCAAAGAACCAACTCCCTGATTCATTGATTCTTTGTATTGTTTTTTTTTTTGTTGTTGTTGTTGTTGTTGTTGTTTTAAGTCTCCAGTGGGTTAATTTCTGCTCTGATCTTTTTTTTTCCTTTTTTTGGTACTGGGGATCGAACTCATAACCTTGCGCTTACCAGGCAAGCACTTGAGCCACTGAGCTAAATCCCCAACCCTTCTGCTCTGATCTTTATAATTTCCTGCCTTGTACAAGTTTTTGGTCGAGCCTGCTCTTCTTTTTCTAGAAGTTTGAGGTTGAACACTAAATTGCTTATATGTGTTTACTCTGTTTTCCTGATATGGGCACTTACTGCTATAAATTTTCCTTAAAACTGCTTTCATTGTGTCACACAATTTCCAGTACATTGTCATTCAACTATAAAAACTATCTAATTTCTTCTTTAATTTCACTTGTGACCCTCTGGTTGTTGGGTAGGGTACTATTTAATTTCCATGTGTTTATGAAGTTCTTGTGGTTTCCTTTGGCATGGATTTTCAATTTCATTGCAGTGTGGTCTGATAGTATGCATGGGATAATTCCAATTCTTTACATTTACTTAAGCATGTTCTAAGAGCCAGTATATGGTCTATTTTGGGGAATGTCCTATCTGCAGCTGAGAAAAATGTATATTTGCTGGGGACCACAAATTCAATGACTGGTTTTTTTGTGTATTTCCCTGTGGGGTGAAAGGAAGGACTGGGATTAGGTACCACTCATCTGGGATTTCCCATTGATTCTTCTAAGTATAGGATCATCTATGCCTTCTTGAGTCATCACAGGATTATACTGCAGTCAAGATCCTTCTAAACATAAGGTTATCTATAACCCTCTGGAGTCAGAGTCTTCAGTAATCCTTCGCTAGCCCACTTATCACCGGATACAGCTAATAAAGAGTGGCTGCTTTGGGAACGGGGAGCTCGGATCCAGAGATATTGACTTTCAGCCATAGAAGGCTGTTTTTTATTTTTCTCATGGCATTCTAGAGACAGATAATTGGGACTCTTGGCCAGGTTCCTGATGTTGACTATTGGGACTCTTGGCTGGGTTCTCTATTTGGTGCTCAACATGACCGGAATGCATGACCTTTAAACCACAACAACCACTATGAAGGTGCTAACAATCCACTGGACCTTGCATGACCAAATTAAAGGTAAGTGGAGCATTTTACTAATTATATAGCTCAGATGCAATTAACAAATAGAAATCTGATGCTGGGAGTGGTGGCTCACGCCTGTAATCCCAGCACTTGGGAGGCTGAGGCAGGAGGATCGTTGTGAGTTTGAGATCAGCCTAGGCTACAAAATGAGCTCAAGGCCAGCCTGAACTGCACAGGAAGACCCTGTCTCAAAAAGACAAAAAAAAAAAAAAAAATAGAAATCTGTTACACAAGGCTGTTTGTCAAAGGTAACTATGGGGAAACCATATTCTTTATCTGCTGAAAAGAAAGAATTTAGCTGATTGATTGTGAAGCTGTTTAATGATGCAGACATCAAAGTCCCATCAAATGTTTTTGGATTACTCAGTCAGATACCTGAATGCTATCCTTCTTTTCTCAAGGCAGGCACACTCAATATGAGAGTTTGGATAAAATAGGTCAAGAGTTTATATGTAGCTACAATCCAAGGGAAAAATAATCTACCCCAAAATGACAGCTACATATAACTTGGTGAATGTGGCCCTCTCATCATGGCAACATAACCTAGAAAATAAAGCAGACCAACAGCCCAGTACCCCTACGATACACTACTTGTGCCGACAAATTGATTATGAATGGGGCAAATAAAGTGGAAAAGAGCCCTGATGTAAGCATAACGAAAAAGCCAGATCACTATGATAATACAACTCCCAATGGGTTGCTAGAGAAGCATGTTTAAAAAACACGGATAATTGCCTGGCGTGGTGGCTCACACCTGTAATCCCAACACTCGGGAGGCTGAGGCAGGAGGATCATTGTGAGTTCGAGACCAGCCTAGGCTACAAAGTGAGCTCAAGGCCAGCCTGAACTGCACAGCGAGACCCTGTCTCAAAAAGACAAAAAAAAAAAAAAATGGCTTATCAAATATATTCACTTTACACAAAGTTCATAATGAAATCTGAAACTTTTCCAATTTACCCAGATTCATTCTCTGCACCCCATTTGGAAAATAATGCTTCTGCTGCTGTGTTTTCTACAGTAATCCCAAATACCAAGGACTCAGGTTGGAAATGATCCTCCTCTTTCCCCTCTCCCAAGGAAACCAAAGCATAGTGACATCAGACTGTATCCACAAGTATCCTGCTTGCCAATTATAGAAGAGACAGGCACAGAAAACCCAGCTCATAAATGCAATACGCGCACAGCTTTTAACTTTTTACTCTTGAAAGAATTGAGGCAGAGCATGCCTTGATGATGGAGTCCAGGGTCCATATACTCTTGGTTGCTTAGATAATATAATTCATGGTACCAGGAGATGTAACCCATCTCGCTGGCACATGTCTATCATCAGCACAATTCCTACATTTAGAATTTTAAGACATTACATTAGAATTTAAAGACACTGATTTCAGAACAAGCTCAGAATAATCAAGATAGTGAGGATGAAAACTTACAAGCTATTACTCAGGAAATATTATCTGGCATGGGCAGATATGCTGATTTAAAAGTTCAGGGGCTGGGGATTTAGCTCAGCAGCATAAGCGCCTGCCTTGCAAGCAGGCAGTCGTGAGTTCGACCCCTGGTACCGATAAAAACGAAAAAGACAAAAAAAAAGAAAAGTTCAAGAACACGCCCTGTCCCTTCTTTTCACACAGTGCCAAGAACTATGCCGAGCACCGCTTTCTGTCCCAGCAGATGGTACACCTAAAAAGTCATTCACCCAGATATTCCAAGGTCCTGCAGAAGCTTACACCCAGTTTGTAGCTGGATTGTAGGAGGCTATATAAGTAGACAGATTTCTCATGACAATGCAGCTAAACAACTCCTTCATCAATTAGCATATGAGAACTCCGGTGAGGAGTATAAACAAGCTTTAGCCTCAGTGCTTCATACTAAAGACTTATCTATTTACAAGCATGCCAGAATATTGGATCTACCACTCACACTTCTGCATTCATGGCACAGGCTGTATCTCAACATCTAGCCCAGAAGGCTGATATGACTAAGGGCTGGGGATTTAGCTCAGTGGTATAAGTGCCTGCCTTTCAAGTTCGACGTCATGAGTTCAATCCCGGTACTGATTAAAAAAAAAAAAGGCTTATATGATCAACTGTTTTAATTATGGCAATCAAGGACACGCTTGCCAACACTGCCCAGAGCCTATAAAGGCACCAGCTCCCACAGCTATGCATACTAGTACTAGACCAGGCTCAAGTTTATCATGTAATCTGTGCCCACATTGCATGAAAGGTTTTCAATTGGCAAAAGATTGTAGGTCTAGATTCCATAAGAATGGCACAACCCTGCTCCAGGGAAATGGAGAGTCAGCCCTTTCCTGAGGCCAGGCATAAACTCAAGGGACAGTATCAAACCATGTCCTACTGTCCCATGCACAGTTGAACCAGTTGTATCTGGTCCAAACCAAACAAACATCAGATGAGTACAAGGGGTGATATTAAATCCCTCCTGTAAGGAACCACCCAGAGTGCAACCTTAGATTTACCAGCAGCTTCCTGCATTCATTTGTTATGGGGGAGAAACCAGTTTTAATTCCCACTGGAATCTATGGGACACTGTCAGAAGGGACCATGGGGTTAGTTAGTAGAAAATCAAGCTCAATTACTGAAGGCCTTACTATAATTCCTACTATTATAAATAGTGATTGTCATCAAGAAATATCAGTGGTGATGTGTTCTACCAACATATGGGTGATTGAACCTGGTGATCTGATGGCTCAGATTTTATTCTTGCCACAATCAGTTCACCTCCTGCTCTCTACCCCTCACACAAATCTGATAAAGATAAGTACCTGAGCAGAGAAATTTATTTTTCTCAGTCTATTACTGCTTGTAGACCTACTTGCACTATTAAATTAAATGGAAAATCCTTTACTGGAATGATGGATACAGAAGCTGATGTCACTATAGCCAATAGCCAGTCTTGGCCATCTGCTTGGCTGACTAGATCTGCCTCCACAGCTCTAAGCCTGAGGAGACTTAGGCTCCCCTCAGTCTGTATTGCAGAGTGCTGTGCCACTTCCATATATTGGCTCTGATGGGCAAACAGGCATTATAACACCATTTATTACACCCATCCTCATCAATGTATGGGGAAGAGAGACCTTATGGAAGAGTTATTTCTGCCCCTCACAAGAGCATATCACCCACTAACAAGAGGAAGGCTAAGATGGAAAGTCAAGAAAACAATGGTTTGAGTAAGAACTTACAGGGTTGTATACTTCCCGTTGAGCCTTTAGTAAAACAATGTAGATCTGGAACTGAATATAAGTTAAATCTATAGCGAGGGCCATTAGCACTTCTCCACCTATTTCTGCACTGCTAGATCAAGAGAAAACTACAGAGCCAAAAAGGGTTCCTCAGTGCCCCCTAACTCAGGAGAAGTTAAAGATCTTATTGACATTAGGAAAGGAGCAGCTACAGTTAGGTCACCTCAGGCCATTCGTTAACTCATGGAATGCTTCTGTGTCTGTAATTCCAAAAAGATCTGGTAAGTGGAGGTTAATACAAGACTTGAGAGCTATAAATGCTTGAGTGTTGCCAATGGGGGCATTTCAACCTGGTCTACCTAGAGTTACTGTAATCCCACAGCACTGGCCTATGGTTGTTACTGATCTTTTTTTTTTTTTTTTTTTTTTTTGGTTGTTACTGATCTTGAAGGCTGCTTTTTTAACATCTCACTCTCTCCTCAGGATTGACCTTTTTTTTGCACTTTCAGTACCTAGCATTAATGTTGATGAGCCAGCCAAACATTTTCAATGGACCAGGCTTCCATAGGGAATGGCAAATAGTGGCACACTGTGCCAGTTGTCTGTAGCACAAGCTTTGAAAAGATGCAGAACTCAATTCTCTCAAGCTTATATTATCCACTACATGGATGACATCTTACTTGCTATGTCCTCTAAATCTAACTCACTGATGCTATTTGAAGAAGTTAAGAGAGATTTATTGCTTTTGGCCTTCAACTAGTACCCAACAAAGTACAAATGATAAGTCCTTACAGTTATTTGGGCTCTGCTGTTTCTGAGAGGGTAATTAAACCACAGAAAATTCAGATGAGGATAGATAATCTACAAATTTTTAATGTCTTCCAAAAACTGTTAGATATTAATTTGCTTAGGCCCAAATTAGGCATAGCAACCTATCAGTTACAAAATTTATATAATATGTTTCAGGGTGATAAAGATTTAAACTCTCCCTGGAAACTCACAGAAGTGGCCAGACAAGAACTGAAATTAGCTGAACAATGTCTGCATTCTAGGCAAAGTTCTAAAGTTGATATTACTTGATCTCTTTATCTATCTGTGTTACAGATGCTCCATTCTCCTACAAAAATGTTAGGACAAGTGGATTCATAAGATTCTGTCTACTGTGGAATGACTATTCTTGACAAATCAAGTAGTAAAAACTCTCCAGTTATATGTAGAACAAACAGCAGAAATAGTGATTATGGGAAGAAATTGAGCATGGCAGCTCTTTGGACTTGATTTGGCAGTCATTGTAGTACCAATAGATGCTAAACAGAGACAGACATCACTCCAAACTGCCCTGTTCTGGCAGGTAGCATTTGCTCAGTTCATAGGGACAATAGATAGTCACTACCCTACTGACGCTCTTTTACAGTTCTTCCTTTGCACTTCTGTTATTCTCCCAAAGGTCACTCATTTCAAGCCATTGACAAGGACTCTTACTTTACAGACGGTTCTTCTAAGGGGAAAGCAGTTATCTGGAGCTGCTTCTTCCAGTGCTTCTTCTCTACAAAATGGGATTCAGCACAGCACTCAGAAATCAAGGCTACTCTGTATGTTTAAAAATTCACAGACAAACCCCTTAATATATTATGTGACTCCTCTTACGAAGTATATCTGACCCAAAAGATAGAAGCTGCCTCTATTTACTGTATCATTGAGTCTACTTTAGTACAACTATTTTTAAAACTACAGAAAGCTATACTTAGGGTTGGGTATTTAGCTCAGCAGCATAAGTGCCTGCCTTGCA